GCTAATCAGGTCTGACTCATAGCGACCCTGTATAGGGTTTCTGAGGAGAAGCTGGTGGATTTGAACTACTACCATTGTGGTTCAAATCAACCGTTTGGTCCAGTCCTTAACCTACAGTGCCACATCAAGACTTCAAATACATAGATTTCATATACTGGAACCCAAAATGTGTCTGTAGCACAAAAATACAATTCCTGATTTTAAAAATTCATAAGTTAGGGTCATTAGGAGTTAGAACTGACTCCACAGAACTTACAACAAGAATGCATAAATATATGTATCTATTGTTGTTTGGGATGTTGTTAAGTGCCATCAAGTTGGTTCTGACTCATAGCAACCTTGTATAGGTGTTTCTGTGGAGCAGGTGGTGGGTTTGAACTTTTAGTCTTGTGGTTTGTAGTCCAGTGCTGATTCTGCAGCTCCTTACCAGGAGTGTGTGTGTGTGTGTATATATATATATATGCTGTTAGGCACCATCAAGTCAATTCTAACTCATAGCAATACTGTACAAGGCTTCCAAGGGGGACTGGTGGGTTTGAATTGCTGACCTTGCCATTACCAGTATAGTGCACAACAGAACAAAACATTGTCCAGTCCTGGGTCATCCTCATAATTGTTATGTTGGCACCCATTATTGCTGCCACTGTGTCAGTATATCTCATTGGGTGTCTTACTCTTTTTTATTGACCCTCCACTTACCAAACATGATGCCCTTCTCCAGAGACTGATCTCTCCTGAAAAGCCAGACTTATTGAACCAATATGGACTAGAGGAACCCCTGAGACTATTGACCTAAAATACCCTTTAAATGTCTGAGACCATTCCCACCTTTTATCCAAATAATCGATTGCTTTATAAAATAAAATATCGCCTGAGAGTACTGTGCACCCTTAAATAATCAACTATAGGAGATCAAAGGTCAACATCTACTTTAAAACAAAGATGAGACTCTTAGGAGGTGCAGGAAAGATTAATGGAAACAGAACAAACAAAATGGGAATAATGAAACTTTTGACACATTGTGAGAATGTAGCCAATCTGTATAAAACTTGTTAAATGGGAACCTAAATTCTTTGTGTAAACCTTTACCTAAAACACAAATAAATACTCAAAAAAAGAAAGAAAGAAAAATGTAAGCAGTGTCATTGAACTGTAAATTTGGAATTTGCTGTGTTTGGGATGTTTTAGGGAATATGGTTTATCCACCATTTAAAAAAATTAGAAAAAGAGAACACATAAATGTAAAAATGAATGAGAAATTTATAAAACCAAATGTAAACCGTAAAATGAAATTGACAGCATACAAATACTGAATGTTCAAAAATCATAGGCTAATATATCCAGTTTCATTAATAGTCAGCAATTTTTAAAATGACATATTAACTTAGATAAAGAGGAAGGCATAAACAAATAACAAAAATAAATAAATAAAGTGATATTGGTTGTAGATGACATTTCACCTGTGTGAAAAAGAAAGAGCATACATAAATTTTGTGTTTATAGGTCATTTTACAAATTAATTATCCTTATTACTGTCTTTACAAATAAATTATCCTTATTACTGTCACAATCGTCTTGCTGGTTAAAGTACGCATTATCATACCCATTTTCTATCTGAGCACACACACACCACACTTATTTACTCGTTTGGCACAGAAGAATTATAAAAATATGAAGTATCTTCTAGGATGTGGGGAAGAGGGAACACATACAATGCTGATTTTACTATAATTTGTCACAGCCAATTAACGGCAATTTGACAGCATTTAAGAAATTTAAAGTCCTTATACTTAACAACTCAGTGCTTTTTACATCTTGTATATATGCAGGAGCCCTGGTACAACCATAGTTTAAGCATTGGGCCAAAAGGCATGTTGTTCTAAGCCATCAATCACTTTCTGGGAGAAATATGAGTCAATCTTCTTCGGTAAATAATTAAATCCTCGGAAACCTTTTGGAGCAGTTCTCCTCTGTCCTATAGGGTCCCTATGAGTTAGAATCCACTTGATGGTAGTGGGTAGTATACACTTACAGAAACTCTGGTACGGGTACCCAAAGATGTTCATTGGAGCATTATTTGCATGATGAAATAGTAAAAGGAACCAAAATGACCAATAGCAGAATGGGTGTCAAAAATGTTGTATATCTATACACTGAAAGTGTTTAAAGGTAACGTGTGTGTTGGAGACATGACAGAGAAATTTTAAAAACAAATTATTCAATTAAAAAAAAGCAAGCTTCAGAAAAATAAATTAATACAAGTTTAGCTAAAAGTAAATCTTAGTCAAATTTGATTATGAGATCTCTCAGCATCTAAGTCACAGACAGTGACAATGTAACTTTAAGAAAATTTTTTTTCTTGTAAATTCATAAATGTGAATTTATATGCTTAGAAATATTTATGCAAGATTGTTGTCGTTTTTAAATGCCATCAAGTCAGTTCCAACCCATAGCAATCCTGTATAGGGTTTCTGAGGAGCGGCTGATGAGCTTGAACCATCAACCTTGTGGTTCAAACTGACCTTGATGTCCTGTGCATTAACCCACAGTACCACACCGGCACTCCAATGCTAAATTAGGTTGTTTAAATACAGGATTGGTTAGTCTTACAAAGGTGTTGTTTTTAGGTACCTTCCAGTTGGATCTGACTCAGATCTACTATTGTTGTTGTAAGTCGTTTCTGACTGATGGCAATCTTGTAAAGGGTCTTGGAGGAGCGACTGGTGAGTTTGAACAGCTGAACTGCAAACCTTGCGGTCCAGTGCTCATCCGACAACACCACACCAGGACTCCACATCGATCATGTTGCGCTTGTTAAATGCCGTTGAGTAGGTTCTGACCCATAGCAACCCTGTATAGGTTTCCAAGGAGGGGCTGGTGAGCTTCCAGTGCTTTCCTATAGGCCACACCAGAATTATCATTCCACACCAGGACTTGTAAATTGTTTTTGTTGTTAAGTGTCATTGAGTCCGTTTCTACACATAGTGAACCTGTATAAGTTTTCCAAAGCTTTAAGTATTTGTGGGAGCAGAAAACCTCATCTTTTTTCCCTCAGAGCATCTGGTGGGTTCCATCTCACTGATCTTGTGGTGGTTCATAGTCCAGTGCTTATCATATGGAGCCACAGTGCTCCCTGGCCTTGTAAGAAGTATAAAATATAGATTGCTAGAATAACAAAAAAAAAATTGTAAGTATTAGCTTTAGATAGAAGGGGACCGGAATTGGATCAGGGCTATAGGCTTACAATAGAATTGTATTGGTAATATTTAATTTCTACATTTGAGAGAGCAAATAAAAATAAAGAAATGTAATATAAAGTATATAGATCTTCTAAAGTCACTATATTAACTCTATATTCCTCAATATCCCAAGTAAAACATTACAAAGAATTTTTAACAACTGGGTGTGCTGAATGATCAAGCTTTCTAAGGGCTTGGGGTGGGGGGAAGGCAAAGGGAATTATCCTCCCATCCCTACCCCCATCACTACTACAAGCCTTGCTGCAAACCCTTGGGAATGGGAGGTGGCATTAGTTATTTTCCTCTACATACCAATTTTACACAGTACCCACAAAGTGGACAAAGAAAGAAAGAAGGAAAGAAAGAAAAACTCAATAACTAAAGTCCTGAAAATAACCAGTTAGGAAAAATTATGAAGACACAGAGCATTATAAAGAATGGCAGAAAAGGCATTAGTGCATTTCTCTTGTCCTACCCCAACCTCCTTAAATGACCTGAAAGGTAAATTTATGCATATAAAGAATAACTTCTTAAGGGCAAGTTTAAAAAAAGGAATGAAGGAATTCCTTGAAGACGGAAAGCAGATGGGGCAGTGAAGCTGAGAGAGTGGAAGTGGGGACAGGGTGGACAGCCTGGGATCTTAAATTGGCGGTGGAACAGTAGGGGAGGGGGCACTGGTGGACCTGACAGCTCAGGGTTTGGGGAAGGGGCGGGGACAGGGGGTGGAGACTGAAGTCCAGGACAGGCGCCTGGCCCAGAGCTATGGTGGGGGTGGAGGCTGTGGGGGCGCTCAGTGTTTGGCAGGAAGGGGAGGCCTTTCTCCTGGCAGGAAGCTGCGCTACAAAAAGAAGGAGGAGACTGCAGCGGGGCAGCGGTGGGTGGGAGCCCGATGTGGCTGAGGGGCTGCCGCGGCGGGCAACCAGGCAAAGGACACAGGAGTCGAGTGTTTCCCTCTTAGATGTGATCCTCGCCTTGCAAGCATCTGGCTTATAGCACAGGATTACAGCTAAAGGAGCAGCGAGTTGTCCAATTTGGGCACGTGAGGCCGGCGATCAAGGGTCTGTGGGGAAGTGGGCGTTGGACTAAGGGTGGGTAGTTGGTGGGTACGAGGAAGGAAAATGTGGTGAAAGTCAGGGTTGGAGATGAGATCTGAACAGGTTGATTTGGGATTCGGAGGGCGGGGTTGAGGAAATGCACCAGTCTAATGTACAAGAGTGGCCAGAAAGGGAAATAGCTTTGTGGTGGATGCCCAGCAAGAAAATGTGAATGGCCTTAAAAGATACTTGAGAGATGAGCTCCAAAAGAAGGCACAGGGATCAGCAGGTAACAAGGATGAAGAGCTGAGTGCGATGGGCGGGGGTCAAAGAGGCACATGCTTGGAAATTAAGAGATGAAGTGAGGAATTGTGAGTGTGTTACAAGCGACGGGGTGGGGAGGGTCGCTGGGATAACGGTAAAGGTTCAGGCAAAATGCAAAGGAGCCTATTCCCTCTTGTGGGGGTCCCCAACCACCAAGACCACCACAGCCAGCTCTACTCAAGCCCTCCCTAACAGGAGGAAGAAGCTTAGCTTTGAGTGGCAGTGGGGGTGGGGACACTGCAGGCAGGCATCCAAGAGTGCCTTGATATCCAGCATTTATGCTAGATTCTTAGGAATAACATGGGTGCAAGTATACCTAGTACACAAGGACTCCCTTATACAGATTTAAAACTATTTGAAATGCAAATTGAACATTTCTCCCTAGCCTCTCTCCTCCCCTGCAGGTATGAAGACCCTCCACAAAAAGGCAGCTGCAGGACAGCATACCAGGACAGCTGTAGGTCACCACACAGGATCTGCAAATATGAGAAAGAAAAAGATCTTCCAGAAGAAACAGAGAGGCCGACCTTCCTCCCATACCCACAGAAACATAGTGGGCTGCAGAATTTCACATGGATGGAAGGAAGGTGATGAGCCCATCACCCAGTGGAAAGGAACCGTTCTGGATCAGGTGCCTATAAATCCCTCTCTTTATTTGGTGAAATATGATGGAATTGACTGTGTCTATGGACTAGAACTTCACAGAGATGAAAGGATTTTAAAGCTTAAAATCCTTCCTGATAAAGTTCCATTTTCTCGAGTCAGAGATGTGAGCCTTGCAAACACCATAATTGGCAAAGCAGTGGAACATATGTTTGAGGGTGAGCATGGTTCTAAGGATGAATGGAGGGGGATGGTTTTAGCCCAAGCACCAATCATGAAAGCCTGGTTTTATATTACCTATGAGAAAGATCCTGTCTTATATATGTACCAGCTTTTAGATGATTATAAAGAAGGTGACCTCCGCATCATGCCAGAGTCCAATGAGTCTCCTCCAACCGACAGGGAGCCAGAAGGAGTTGTAGATGGTCTGATAGGTAAACATGTGGAATATACCAAAGAAGATGGCTCCAAAAGGACAGGCAAGGTCATTCATCAAGTTAAAGCCAAACCCTCTGTGTATTTCATCAAATTTGATGATGATTTCCATATTTATGTCTATGATTTGGTAAAAAAGTCCTAACTATTACTGTAAAATTTGCCATATTTGTGAAAACAAATGTATAATTTGTAGACATGCAAAAATTGTTGCTTATTAGTGTAGTGAAAGCTTGAGGGTCCCTGTTAATGCTACATCTTTGCCAGCATAAATATTGTTTTTTTCTGAAAAATACAAATTTTGTGTGGCCATGACATGCCTTGTCTAAGGAATTTGTCTTCTTGAAAAGGTTGGGTGTGTTTGATGGAGAGACATGAAAGGAAGAAACAGCTGTACATTTAGGCATGGAATAAAGTCAAGCTAGTATCATTATTCACTCATCTAAAAATTGACTAGGACTTAGTTGGCCTGTCGAGAAAGCCAGAAAGGAAGGAGCTACAAATAGACTGTGTGAGAGAGAAAAGAGGAAATGATTGCTTAGGAAAATCTGGGAAGAGGTCTGGGAAGAGATCCGGGAGGCTCCCTGAAGGAAGGGAAGATATAGTGAGTGGGAGACATTCAAGTGGGAAAGAAATGAAAAAAATGACAGAGGGAGAGTGAAATCTTGGAACTTAGAGTGAAACAATCAATAGATTGAGTAGAGAGGGTCACAAAGAGGTATGGAAGTATCCAGAGAAAAGGGGAGAGAGGCATAGTGGGCAGGAATTTGGGAGAGTCTAAAAGATGAATAAAGGGAGGATCTTTGCAAGAATGGAAGGCCAGAGGGGAGAGACATAGAGGGAGAAGGTACACTAAGAAGAAAGATTTATAGAGGGGGACAAGGGATGTGGGAGTGGGTAAATCTCAGGAAAAGTTGGAATTCTGGCAACATACATGTGAACAAAAAAAGGACAATTGTCAAAGAAGTCAGCTGAGTTACAGTCTCCCTACAACAGCATTTTGACATGGATAGCTCAGGCCAGTTAAACAGGAGCCTAGTTCATACCTGAAGTCTTTTCTTATTGTAGAGAATCCATGACAAGACCGCTTTTTTCATCTTGCCTCCCCAGCCAAGCAGAACCTCAGACAAAACACACTACTATGGTACCCCATAGGAGCTCTGGTAGCGTAGTGGTTACGAATAGGGCTGCGAACCACAAGGTTAGCAGTTTGAAACTACCACCTGTTCCGCGGGAGAAAGATGAGGCATTCTGCTCCTGTAAAGATTTATAGCCTCGGAAACCCTGTACAGGGTCGCTATGGGTAGGAACCGACTCCACAGCACACAGCTAGCCATGGTGCCTCATAATTGCCGGGCTATGAGCCACATCCTCACATTTCTTGGATGGCCCAGGTACGGCAAACATTGAACCAGAAGGTTTTGGTGCATTTGAATAAGTAATATCTGTGGAGAATGGGACTGTGGGAAATGTGCCAACTTCCATTTGGAAATAATTTTATCCAGTAAAACTTGAACCCAAGTATAGCACCGCCCTCACTGTTCTTCTTGCTGGGTGGTTCTTACCTTCTTAGGAGAGGCAACAGAGGATTGTTGTTATGCTAGCTTGGGCATACTCTGAGAGTCCATCCTTCTCTCAGTAGGATAGCTCTACCACTGTAAAGTTATCATCTCCAAAAGAACCATAGTGGCAAGATACTACACAAAGCCAGTGGCTCCTGGCTCCACCAGGTACCTACTAAGTCAGTCTTTTCCATTCCAAGCACATGGGATCTATGATGGGAGTTTGTGCAGCTTATATTTGTTAGGTGAGATAGATGCCTTGGTATAATTGAGCTGGGAGTTATGGCTGGAGCTAACTCCTTCCTGTGACTGTATAGTATCACATAAAGGGATGATTTTGATCTGCTGTACATAGGGTCGCTATGAGTTTAAATCAACTCAACAGAACCTAACAACAACAACAAGAGGGGTAGTTGGTGGGGAGAAAGGGCAGCAGCCCCAATAAAGTACTTCAGAAGTGAGGTGTCTCAATGTCTGGGTTTGTATCCTGCTCTTCCCCTTCTCCTTATACTTGTGAAGTCACTCTCCCAAAGACCCCTTTAAAGGCCCTTTTCTTGATTTCCCACCCCTCACTGCCCCTTGAAGAGCTGGTGAGTATAAAGAGCCCAAGGTTCCCTAACTTCATACATATTTTGGGGAGTGGACTTCCAGGAACTGAGAGAGGTTGGCAATTACAGTTTTCCACGCAACATTATCTGAGTTTCAGTGACTCAAGAATTATTCAAGGCAAGCTCACCCTATCATAAAAGGAATTAGTTTTCTTTCATACATCACATAATTTAGCCCACTGAACACCAGCAGCCTGGATTTGATCTAGCTGTCATGTTTTGTTTGACCTAATGTTTTCTATTTCAGATTAGCAACTTTAGACAGTTGGAGGATTTCACATTACAAAAATCCATATTTTTTGCTTCTCAAAAATTCAAGGAACAAGGCCTATATTCCAAAAGGATACAAGGGTCTACAAAGAAGGACTGAACACATTTTAGACTCAGAATTCCCTCCAAGTGGTCACACTCCCAACTGGCTTGCTTCGTTCTAATAAAATATGCAGTAATCCCCTTGAAGCATTTGTGTTTGCAACTCTTGGGTTTTGTTGTTGTTAAGTGCCATTGAGTTGGTTCTGACCCATAGCACAGTAGATCCAAGGAAAATTAACTTGATCCCTTTTTAATTCATTAGTTTTAGCTTCATCCCACAAATAATTATTTTGAGCAGGTTCTCTACTAGGCATTCTTCTAGGCACAGGTATTGATGATATGATAATAAACAAAAGTCAAAAGAAAAAAATATTCTCAACCATGGGGTTTCACATAGTTTGACAGACAATAAGCAAAACATATAGTCTTCTCACAGTAGTAACAGCTGTGAATAGGACGGGGGACCCAAAAAGCACAGCATAGGGAAATGAAATATCAGATAAGTCACTGCTATTAGATAGGGTGGAATTCTGGTGTGGCACTGTGGGTTAATGAGCTGGACTGCAAAGTCTGAACTGCAAACTCGGTGGTTTAAGCTCACCAGCCGCTTCTTGGAAACCCTATACAGGATTGCTATGCATCTGAACTGACTTGACGACACTTAACATTAGATGGGGTGGTCAGGAAAGGCTTCACTGAGATTTAGGACTTGAAGACAATGAGAGAACTAGTAGTGTGACTGTCTGTGGGATGAGCATTCCACATAGAGGGAACAACTAATGCAAAGGTCCCAAGACAGGAGTGGGACTGGCACATTCAAGAAACACTGAGAATGTAAGCATGTTTGAAATTGAGTGACTGAAATAGGAAATAGCAGGAGATAAGTTCAGAATAATAGTAAGGATGAGGGAGTGGCAGATAGATAGGGATCCATTTGAATACTTTCAGCAAAGTGGTGATATGATTTGTCTTATATTTTAGCAACGTCACTCTGTCACTCTATAAGGATGCAAGTGCAATCAGAGAGATTAATATACAACTAAGAGAGATCCAGAAACAAATTTGTACATAGGAATCATCAGTCACAGTAGAGGTGATATTTCTTTCCATTTAAACATTTTTTTAAATTTTGATTTGAGTTCATGCACAATTTGTTTCATGACATCGATTTCAGTCCCCACAGTGCAACCGCACTCTTCATTCCACTTCCTTCTTGTGTTTACCTTTCCATTAGTCCTTCTTTCCTATCCATTACTGCCATTTTTTTAGCTTTGTTGTTGTTGTTGTTAAGTGCCATCGAGTCAGGTGCGACCCATAGCGACCCTGTACAGGGTTTCCGAGGGTGTAAATCTTTACGGGAGTAGAAAGCCTCATCTTTCTCCCGCGGAG